AAATTTTGACTTGGATGGAGAGTTGTCTCATTGGCACTCATACCACATCTTCTTATATCTATTGAATACACAACTTAAACATGTGTGCTATCTGTCTGAAGTTGAATACACAAAATTAGTTCTGTCTTTTGTAAACTTTGTCAAACCCTACTGTCAAATTGCTTCGCCGGATGCAGCTGGATACGACCGCAGAGGTCCAACCCTGAACAGTTGGGGCAAAAATGGACACAATATTCGCGCTTGATACAGGTCTGAATTTGGATTGCAATTAAATATTTGACACATAATAGGTTTCTGACACAGAATAACTGTAGTCAAAGAACTTAGAATTGGTTATATGATTTGAATTTATATTCAATTTTTTGCTTTTGTGCAATACACTGTGCCGGTGCGAATTGACCCCCCCCCCCCCCCCCCCCCCAAAAAAAAAATAAGTGAAGAAATTTTGTTTAATTTCTGAAATCCAACACATTGTATAACATTGTACAATTTCGTTTTTGGATTACCTCCCTTACACTGCTTTTAAATTGTCCATTAACCAGGAAACCCTTGTTTTTCCCCTTTTTTGCCCCTAATTCCTAAACGGTTTGAGCCATAACCCCCCGAAGCAAATCCTAACCATCCCTTTGTGGTATGGAAACTTGTGGTATAATTTCAGAGAGATCCATACACTTGAACACAAGTTATTCCCTGGAAGTTACAAAAATGCTTATTTTTGGCCCCTAATTCCTTAACTGTTGGTACCATAACCCCCAACCTTCCTTTTGTGGTATTGAACCTTGTGTTAAAATTTCATAGAGATCCATTAACTTAATCTAAAGTTATTGTGTGAAAACCAATGTGTCTTCTGACGACGACGACGCCAACGTCATACCAATAAACGACCGCAAAAACGTATAAAAAAAGCCCTTGATAACAGTCTATAGTAGTGTAAATGGAATAAGGCAAAATGACAACATAAACAGAATATTTAGGATGTGATTTGCTATGAAAATCACCCAATATAAAGTACTTTAATTTGGTTGACTCAGTTTTGTTGAAACAAGGGAAGTAGTATACTTTTACTTTGAAAAAGCAAACTCACAGAGGCTTTTTATTAAGACATTTTATATAATTTGGAACATCAATAGTTCATGTGCAATTTTCAATCACGTTTTCCTTAACAAAAAGTACATATCTAGTTACTTCCACACTGGTAGGTTTAACAGGTTATCAAAAATCAGTCAGTTACACCTGTCTACTAACGAAGATATAAGACATCAAAGACAAATTAACAACAGGTGTGCACTTGTAAATCAAAATCACTATTTTTAATCAATTTTTATCAAGGTGGAATAATATTAATTTATTTATGGTTAGCCTATCATGTACACAAGATTTGTTTTTTTTCAAGGTTTGTTTTGAATGAATTGAAAATGAGACAATTAGTTGTGATAATGATATTCATACAGGGTATCTATGCCAAGCTAGACTGTTCTGACTTTTTTCTGAGATTAGTTTCTGTGTTTGTGGGTCATCATTTAAGTTTAAGCAAAGTTTGGTTTCACATTTGTTTCAATGTGAACCTATGGCATTATTGACAACAGCTGATTATGTAACAATCATTTTATAAAAAGTTTGATATTGATGTTGGGAACATTTTTTTCATTCTAATGTTCATATAAGAGATAAACAAGTTCTATTTGTCTTATTTAGTTTCTTTGAGACAGAAAAGGGACACAGAACAATGCAATATTTCACATGGTGCTATAGGTCAAATATTTTAACATTTTAAAAAAGTTTCAATTTAAAAGATAACTTTGGATAAGAAGTAAGCAATGTAAACATGAAGACAGACATATATCAGTTCATGGGGGGTCTTTCATCTTATCAATATTTAGTTTAAAATACTTCATTGAAAGAAATTTCAATCTTCAAACTTATGAAAAAAGTTAACTTTCCTATCAATCTAAATAAATAGGAACATTGTTGAAATGTTCCACCCTTACTATATCAAAGTTTTATCTTTCCATCATTTTTCTATTTTCATAATGGCTTTCAAAGCTGTACAACTTCAATATTACACTTTCCTACAACATTCACTCGTTTATGATTTAAAATGTCTTGGTGAAAACTAATTAAAGCATTTTTCTAGGTTTGTTTATTATAATATGTTTTTTTATGGAACTTTGATCTCAAACAGGTTATGGAAGAAAAACATACTGGGAAGACAAAACAAAGTTACCAAAAAACAGGAAAAAGTTGGGTTTTTTTGTGATGTTTTACAGGTTCAAAACTGCTCCCAGTCATTTGCAACAAGACTTAGATACAGTGGCGGATCCAGAACTTTTCATAAAGGGGGCCAGCTGACTGACCTAAGAGGGGCCGCTCCAGTCATGCTTCAGTGATTCCCTATATAATCAACCAAATTTTTCTCTCGAAAGGGAGGGCCCAGGCCCCCCAGGGTCCCCCCTGGATCCGCCTATGTAGATAGAATGGAGTTGTAAGTTCTTTTTCCTATTGAGAAAACCTTGACAAAAAGGGAAGGGATGGACATACAGTGTCTGATTGAACAGATCGATTCTCTCCTTTCTATGATAATTAGGGACTTCCCCTTTCTATCTCCATTATGTTACAAGATAATAGCCTTGTGCACATCTATCCAATGTTGTTATACCTTAAGCAGGATTACAAATGTAGGTAAAAACCTTCATCTTGTTTTCAAGTGTTTTAGTTGGACTATTCTTGACCTTATTGCTTTTTGTGAATCTGCTACACTCAACCTGAGAATTTGTGACACTTGAAATATTGTCTTTATACAACAATCACTATTCCTTTATGGCAACAAAATTTGGCATGTTCAATAATGGCGAACTCGTTAAAAAGTAAATGTTGGATTTCTTGTTTGAATTGTTTTAAATTTTGTCACCCTGGGGCCTTATATAGCTTTACTATACAGTATAGGTTTTGCTCATTGTTGAAGGCTGTACAGTCACTACTTTAATCTCTGGTGGATAGTTGTCTAATTGGCAATCATATATACCTCATCACCTTATTCTTGTATGGACAAAAAATGTATAAAAATCATGCATATGGCCTTTGTTAGTCTTGTATGTTTTTTAATTTTAGTTCATTTATATGTTTTGGAGTTTAGTGTGACGTCCATTTTCACTGAACTAGCACACAATTTTATTTAGGGGCCAGCTGAGGACCACCTCCGGGTGCTGGATTTTCTCGCTGCATTCGGCTGTTGTCTGCTCTTTGACATATTCCCCATTTCCATTCTCAATTTTATATTGAAGTTTTAACTTTAATGTTCCAATATAAGTTATGATGAATTAAAATTCCTTTCAACATCGACTAGCTGATAGAATGTGTCAGCAAATTCTTACTAATTCTCAAGTCAGAGTTCACAAAAAACTGTTTAAGTAATAGTCATTAATTATGTTTATGAATGTTTTACCAATTACACAGTCAGTTAACTTAAATACAAGGCAATGTTTACATTTTCCTTCAAAGAAGATTTAACACATGACCAAATCTACAGTTCCATGTAATGCAGAGACATGATGAAACATATTCTGTGAAAATATATAAAGAGACTTGTTCTTTATAACATATGTTTTATTAATTTGAAGAAATGTGTTTTTATCCATCAAATATCAAGTTAAATCAACATTAAAAGTCTTGGTAATTAGATCTTTAAGTTTTAACATTTAGTGTCATAAATATTGTTTGTATTAAAACCTGAGAAAATATAATGAAACAGAAGGTAATATATTCAATGTAATAATTTTGCATCAGACTCCATCAAATCTAGAGTTCTTCAGAATATTTCATTATATTGTTATTTTGACTTTTACATAATATAGTGAGAAATTGTTTAACCAGGAAGTAATATACTTAGTTATGTTTACTAGACTGTTTTGCTCCTAAATTGATTGAAAAATTGATGAATGGCATTAAATGCCACTTTCAGCACTCTTGGATACATCATGGCAGTCTAAATAAACATCTATACGTATAATAACGAAACAGGCAAAACAAAAAATTATATTTATTTATCTTTAACTACTCATTACACAATTAAAACCCAAATATCAGCTTATTATTTTCTAAACTGATCAAAATGGAGAAGAAAAATGTACTTTTAATGATTCTTTCACTTTCTAAGTCAAATGTAAATAATTTGGCCCAGATTAGGTCAACCAAAATAAAACTAAAACTGGAACAATATTCCCAGTATATATATTACAAATAATAAAACAAATATAAAACTCTAAATTTACATAGAGATGTTAAAAATTTTCATTTTCTATGCTTTACCCTTAGCTATGACAGCAATGATATTTAGTTTGAAGTAAAACTAGGAACAAATTTGAACCTAAACACCCTATGGATCATTATTATTATATTTGCCTTCACATGGCCAAGTGAGTGTAGAGATTTATAAAAAGTCATGGAGGACCAAAATGACAGGTTAAAGTGATGTCAAGAGCTCAAACTGACAAGTTGCAACTCAAATTTTTTTTCTTCAAATAGTTGTCTAATTACAATAAGTGTACAATTCAAAGTTAAGCATTCTGTTCCTCAATAAATGTTAATTATTAAAAGAACTGATAAAAATGAGATTCCTGGTAGACATATTGATTGAATTACAGGAAAAAACAGACAGCCTTTCTACATTGTGATCACTACATTGTAATTTTTATTCCAGATAAAGTTGAATTATCTCCCTTTGAATATAATACAACAATTTTTAAACTGAAAAAAGTGAAAAACACACCATTAACTAAGTATCAAGTTCATTTGCTACATCTAAAGCAGTGTTAAACATGTTTATCCACTATTGTCTTTTGCATATAGCAATGCAGGGAAAATTCTACACTACCCTCTGTGCCTGGGAAGGATACCTTACATTGCAGCACATTTGCAGAAAAATGTCATTGTGAAATGTATGCAGTTTGCATGGTAAAAAGAATGCCACACATATTATTATACATTTTTAAACAGTTACTTACCTTTCACATACAGCATCGCAGCAAATGAATAGGCTACCCCTTTACTGTTAGAAGCCACACATTCGTATCGACCATGATCAGATTCCATACTATTATGAATCTGTAGATACCCTGTAGAAATATTAAAGATTCTTATTACTAAGTGTGAATTCATCTATTTTCATGAATTAAGGAAAAAATGTTTTTTTGTGAATATTTAATGTCGTGGTTTTGACAAATTGTGCATTTAGCCGAACGCTTAAATCATTATCGAATTAGGATTAAACACATTTTTTCTAGAGGTTTGTGAGTCAGCTGCCTAGTTTACTCATCAATATCCTCTAGAAAAATGTGTATAATCCTAATTCAGTCAAACCTGCCTTAAAGGTCAGCTAGTTTCAGTGGTCACCGGCCCATATCAGTCACTTTCAGATCCGCCCAAACATTTTTTTGTCGTTTGTTTATGTGTTACATATTTGTTTTTCGTTCCTTTTTTGTACATAAATTAGGCCTTTAGTTTCTTGTTTGAATTGTTTTATTGTCATTTTGGGGCCTTTTACAGCTGACTGTGCGGTATGGGCTATGCTCATTGTTGAAGGCCGTACGGTGACCTATAGTTGTTAATTTCTGTGTCATTAGGTCTCTTGTGGAGAGTTGTCTCATTGGCAATCATACCACATCTTCTTTTTTATATTTTGACTATATAATTTAACTCTTTTCAGCCGTCACCTAATTTTCACACAAAATCGTCATTTCAACTTTTAACAATGGTGATTTTAATGTTTTTAACTACCAATATAAATATGACTTCTGATAGTATATATGTGTTCAGTATCAAAAAGTCAAAATAAAACAGAAACCTGTTTGCAATTGAGATCCCGCAATAGGTGAACTGGTGAATTCCTTATGTTCCACTCCTTTCAGTTTCCATTGACAACTTATTTCTCCAAGAATATTGACATATTTTGAATTTTTTCTTCAAATTTATAACCCTGGAATTTACCATTTTTATTTTACTGCTTGCAAGACCGATAACTCTACAGATTGAAAACACCTCAAATCTCTATTTCTGTGAGATATTATCCAAATTTGAAGCTTACAAAAATGGAATAAACTTCAGCTCAAGAGTTTTCGTTCATATGACATCAAGTTTTGCCATGACTTTACTGTTCAGGGTGTGTGTGTGTGTGTCAATTAGATCAGTGAGACCTACTAGATTTGATCACTACCTAGGTCAACTTAAGTTAATCTTGGATCACTGAGCTCTGCTGAACTTTATCTTTACCTAGGCCAACTTAAGTTAATCTTGGATCACTGAGCTCTGCTGAACTCTATCTTTACCTAGGTCAACTTAAGTTAATCTTGGATCAGTGAGCTCTGCTGAACTTTATCTTTACCTAGGTCAACTTAAATTAATCTTGGATCAGTGAGCTCTGCTGAACTTTATCTTTACCTGGGTCAACTTTTGTTAACCTTGGATCAGTTAGGTCTACAGGAATTTTATCTTTAAACCATTCTATTTGGATGGGTTCTTGATTATAGATTCCTGGAGCCTCAGCTTCACACTTCATGATTGCATTCCTTCCTTTCTCAATAGATTTAAGTTTAGGGTTAACTGTTATTCTTGGATAGCCTTGTGGTATATCTGGAATGGAAAGAATATTGTTTTTCTTTAATTGAGAATATCATTTTTCTCAATCCTAATTTCTCAAGAATCTAAATTTTCTTTGAACCAATTCATTATCATAAAGGAAAAAAATAATTCTTGTGATGTTATACAATTGTAGACAGTAATTCAATTGGTACATAATCTTCATGTTTCTTTTCGTTAGTCATATTGAATGAACTGTCAAGTCCAGATAGCAAACTAAGTCTCAATTCTTTATTATTTTATTTCGTTCAAACATGAAAACAGTACCTCTTCTGGTAAAAAATAATATCAATGTGAAAATCCAAATCCAAACAGCACTGGTTCTGCTAAGAAGAATCAGCAACCAGTCAAAAAATATTGAAGGAAAAAAGTAAGAAAAGAAAATAATCTTTTCAACTAGGAAATAAAAACAACAAGAGTTATCTATCTTTGGTCATTGAAAAACAAATTACAACATAAAATAGTATACGTAACAAAAGATTTGATGAGTAAAGAGAACCTACATTCAAAGATATTTCGAAAGCTTTATTTTTTTAAATTCAGAATCAGTAAATATATATAAATGTTCTAAAAACCATCAAGTCTTTTGCTATAAGAATTTTGAACAGGTAGATAATTTACATTACAAAGGAATATAAGCTAACTTCTTTTTTGCATTAAATTTTAACATCTATTGTAAAAGAAAGATGAGATTGTTCAGAGATAAATTTGATATTATCTTCAAATTATCTTCAACAGTTTTTCAGTATTAACTCACTCCAATTACAATATTAAACTTATGTTATCATAAATTTTGCATTAACTTAAAAGCAGAGCCAACAAAACTCACAATTGTACCACTCTCCTTTAAAATGTATCAAAATGTTTATCAAATCTATTTAAAAGGACTTGATGTAAGAAATATGAACTAAACAAATCTTTCACTATAATCTCATCTTTCTGTTTAGGTGTAAGGGGGATGGTCTGGTAACAATATCAACAATGCATGAAGCAATAATGTATTTCTCCTCTTGTTTACAACAAAATGGCTACAAATCGTAAGGAATTAGGATAGCACAGCTTTAAGCATGTATTTTTACCTTTATACATTTTTTTCCAGTTCGGGTTACCTGTAAATATTGCTGTATTAGTGTTGTTACTATTAAGGCCATATAAAATGTAATTTTGTTTCCTGCCTCCCTACCTATTCTAAAACATTTTATGGACAATTTTGGTTTAGCACTTTGAAAGTTCAGATATTTTTTTTATAAGAACTGTTCCAGTCCATAACGTTTTCCTATATAGTCTATGTAAAATACTTTAATAAGATTATTTTATCTACCTTCCTAACCTTTATTTTTCTGCCAGGAGGCAAGAAACAAACATATGTACTTAATGCTTAATTTAGTGTTGTAATACTATTAATATGGTGTTAGTTCTAATTAAGCATTCTAGGTTTCAAGGCAAGAGATGAGTCAATGCTAATACACCTTCATCCTAAATATTATTGATTTCTTACTGACCTAATCCCAAGCTTTAACAAATGTTAATGCAACTGACACTAGAAACAGCAAAAGACTCACTTTTGCAACAATATGACACTTTTGTCGAGAAGAGACAAAAAATAATTAAATTAAATTTGAATGGCGTGTTGGAATGAAACTACAAGGCCTCTCCTGCCTCAAATTATAGTTCTCTGTGGACTAGGTTTATCTAACTCTAGTTCTCTTCTGACTAGGTTTATCTAACTCATGATATGATGGATATTTTCATTCTGAAAAGTGAATCCTAACTTTGGAAACAAAAAATGTCGCCTTTCAACACTGTGACAACACATGACAGAATCTAAATATTATTAGCCATGTTTCCAGGGGGAATTAATCTCACTATAATCCTAGTCTCATCTGTCATAAACACTTTACGTGTACAGTTTTGAGTGATCACATTATATCAAGAAGAAATATTATGGAGTTATCTACCCTTCACCAAGTTAGTCAGGAAAATACAATCCATTTTCGTCCTAGACTACTTTTTATTTATCTACTCTTAAAAAGATGAACAAGAAAGGTAGCAATAATAAACTCCCGTTGTCCTGACGCCTAAATGTTAAACAAATTAATAATAATTACATCAATAAGTAACTTATAGTCAAGTGGCAAATTGTCTTGTCCTAAAAGTAAAGGGTGAAATACTCCCTCAGCATGTGTCTAGTATGAAAATGTTCTCAGCCCTGAACATGGTTGACAGACTACCCCTAGATGATAACATACATCTATCATAAGTAATGTGATATAAATTTGTTGTCATCACTTAACAGATATTTGGAGAAACCATATAAATCATACATAAATGAAGTATTAGATGTATAATGTAATTGTAATGGGTGCTAGAACATAGTTCAAATCAGCTTATCTCCAGTTTACCAGAAAAATGTTCTTCTAACTTAAAAAAATAATTTTAATTAACATAAGTTGCATCAGTTCTCTAAATGTCTAAAAATTACAAAATTTAACCTAGTTACATGTTGTAAAAAAGCAAACCTACTGCAAAAAAAATCTGAAATAACTGAAGGATTTTTAAAGACTTGTCATTTGTACTTTATTTGGACTTTGCAGTGTTTTGATTGGAGCCCTGCTGGTGAATCTTCTTAAGACAAACGTGCCTCTGGTGTACCAAATCATTAACCTAGTACCATATCTGTCAAGTTTGTAAGTGTAAAATGAAAGGTGAGATGAAGATGGTCATTGTTCACCAGACTGTTGGGTTAGTTAACATGGTATATCATCATTTGCAAGCATTTTTTTTAAGATTATGATTTTGCATTACAGTCTGAAGCATTACACCTTACACAAGTGATAATAACTGGCTCCTCACCTTTTTGTTGCCAACCTACAATGTTATACAGTAAAACAAATATAACAATGAAAGGGAGGCAACTCAAAAAACATCACAAAACCTCCAAAACATTTTCCAGAACTTGCAGCATATTAAAATAACTGAAGAATTTTTTATCCATTTTAGAAAAAACACTATTCATGATGAGATGGTTCTGCACTAACTTTTCAGGGTGTATTTCAGTAGTATTTACATAATACATTACTTTACATTTCAATTTGAAATGACCTTAATATTAATAAATTACATGTATTATCTTATTAACAATGCCATAAATGTTAAAATCCTAAATCAAATAAGAGTAGATGGGTACAGTGACTTTGGTGGCCATAAACTACTGGGGGTGTTGAGTAAGGTCAAGTAGCTTAACACTGAGTCAAAAATGTACAGTGACTTTGGAGGCTGTAAACTGCTGGGGGTGTTCAGCAAGGCTAAGTAGCTTATAAAAAATGTAGGTATCATTTTATTATTGTCAAAATATGACATTAACAGTTTATTGATTGAAGTACACCTCCTGCGATGGTTTAAACTCTGGGTAAAACACATCCTAGACAATCTTATGTCTCAAACCCATTCATAAATAAATACTTAAATAATTAAAGGTTTTTTAAATTCTTTGTTCAAAGATCGCTGATTCATGTGATAATTTCTAAAGCCAATCTCCAACATCTCAGTATTTGGAAACTTGTCAACTTTTCTTGAATGAATGAACTGCTGTGTAATCGTGATAATGACTTTATGTATTACAGGTGCTAATATCATCACAATATGATTGACAACCAAATGTCTTAAAAAGCCCCCTCCCCCTCTCCCAAAACACAAAAACGACTAAAAGAGTGCTCATTATCAGAAAGTTTTAAAATTAATTGTATTTTGTATTCAAGGTAAAATAAATTTTTTTCCACAATAATGTCACAATTAGTTTTGTTTTTGTTGTTGTTGTTGTTTTTTTTTTTTCTTTTTGGTGGGGGGGGGGGGGGGGGGGAGAGGTGTGGGGTATGTGTGTGTGTGTGCTTTAAATCTTTTAAATATTGCAAAATACCTATTTTGTGAATCCTTTCAATAAAAATAAACTATAATATGGATTAGACCGTTGGTTTTTCCGTTTGAATGGTTTTACACTAGTAATTTTTTGGGGCCCTTTATAGCTTACTGTTCGGTGTGAGCCAAGGCTCCGTGTTGAAGGCTGTACCTTGACCTATAATGGTTTACTTTTATAAATTGTAACTTGGATGGAGAGTTGTCTCACTGGCACTCATACCACATCTTCCTATATCTATATAATACAAATTTTGGTGAGTCCAATTAAAAGTTGTGGGATGAATACAGATATGGGACAAACATGGAAGATTTTTGCTAGTCATTGAAAAAATATGTGTCATAACAATTTGAGAAATCTATAAATTTTCAAGATATCTTGATATATAAGTCCACCTGCTACTATATTAAAATATTATGATTTTATAGATATAAATTTTTCCCTTAACTTATCAATCATTTACATTTTGACCACTTCTAAACCTTTTTTAAATTTTCTTTTAATAAGAAAAATAGCTGTTTACAGATGGTATGTCCTTATAGTTAGTGGAATGTGAACTTAATTTGGGTCTCTCCCAATAACATATCATGTTAAGGCACTGAATATGCAAATATGTCAATGAAATGGTATACCTTGAATAACAATGTCACCTGTCAATTTAAAAAAAATCATTGATTGTTATTCAGGTAAGACTAAACTATTGTACTCAATGTATAACATAGGCTAGCGTTAGGATATCAATCAAGGGAAACAATTCACACAACAACAGTAAAACCTAGCAGCTTCCAACGTCCTATAAAAAAGCTTTAAGAAATAATCATAAAAGTCCTTGGCTTTACCCCTGTGTGCTTTCATATCACTGCAGTCAGTTTTTCAAACATATTTATTCATTTTGCTAACCTGAACAACCTTAAAAAACACATTTACTTCCCTAATAATTGCATGGACAAATAAGGAGCAGTTTTGTGCCCCCTCCCTTCTTTAAAGTAGAAAATTTGTGATTTTTTCCTTCATAAATTTTTCTAATTTGTTACTACTGCAGAGTGTACCAAAAGCCATAGCATTTCCAAATTTGTTTTGAGACAATTTGGTAGCACTTTATAAGCTGGCATAATTTTTGCATGATTTAAGTCTTAATAAAGAGACAGATCAGACGGATGATTCAACTTGACATGGAATGCTGTTTGATTTAATTTCAATATTAGCTGTATAAATTTTATTAAATGACTAAATTTTATTTTTTTCAAAGAAACCTGTGAACATTCTACAGACAATGTCACCAGAAATCCTCGACAAATTTTAAATTTCAATTACTCTGACAAAGAAACCAGCTCAGATGTCAATATCCAAAACCAATTTCACCAAAACCTCCAAAATATTCATGAAAGGAAGTAAAAACAATTTTAGAAAGCTCAATTCTATTTCCATGGCAACATTTGTTCTTGCATAAAATCAATATGAATCATCTTCCCCGTAATACGCTACATAAAGCATATTTTGTGTGAAACGTCTGCATCCTTAAAGACAGGGCGAATGACGAGGATTCATGATATTGCCAAATCGTAAAGGATATCGTCATCAGTTAATCCCTCCTAAAGACATTCCATCACAAAAACGGAAATCTAATTTCCAAGAAACATGCCTAACTTTCTAAATGAAGACAATTATTACAGGAAGTTCTCCAAATACTGTCATGTATAAGATGATAATCAAGATAGGGCATTAAATCAGCAAAATGTTTTTCATTCTTTAGAATTTTATGTAATATCTAAAAGTGGTCCTAGGATAGTCTAAAATGCTATAGACAAAATGTCAGAGATGCACTGTTAAGGATGAGACAAAAGTTTTCTATAAATGTATTGTTCTAAGCCTTTGAATCAATAATTAGTTGAGTCTAATCAATTTCAGTTGGATTTTAGATGGAATTTACAGAAAAACCGACCACTAAATTACACATTTGTATTGGAATAAGAATGTCTTAAGTCTATTTGTATAAGAATTTGAATGTCTTAAGACTGCATGTATCTGACAACATAATTGTGATTCTACAAAAAAAAATAAAGTCTATTTTTACCCCGAAATTGTTGCCTTGTCAATAGAAATCCATTTTTATTCATTCTAATTACAATAAAAAGGATAAGGAATTTTCTACAACAAAACAAAGAAAAACCTCTGCATATGACAATTGTATGTGTCAGAGAGGCACAAAAAAAACTTTTTTCTTATTTGCTATAGAAAGACACAGATTATGTAAGATATATAACCCTATTAGGCAATGTGTTTTCGTCTTCTAAAATCAATAATATTTTATGAGAATATGATTTTTAATCGCACTCATTATAAACTGAATTTACTATCAAACATGTTTCAGATGAAAACAAGAAAGCATAAAAAATGTTGGGAAAATTATCAATTGAGGCTTCCCACAATTTTTCTGCTTGCCAAATAGGAGGTCTTTTTTTTTCTTTTCATTTGTTGCACTAATGTAGTTCAATAACTTGAAAATTTAACACAATTCACTGGTCTGAAACTCTAGAATGATAAAATTGCCCTAAATGTAAAGCATTGTCAATACGGCTGTAATTCTCTTCATTTACATAGCTCCTGATAGTTCATAATAAAGGCATTCAATACATAATTACCTCTCTCCTGCAGGTATACTATGTGAAATTAATACTTAAGTAGAGTGAAACAGTGCAGGAATATTGATTTACTATTTAAAATGATCAAATTGTATTTGTTTAACCTCAATTAACAGGTGCCCCTTAAACCTACAAGTAACCTTCATTGTTTTAAATATACCATCAAAATAAGAAGTATGAGTCAACGATTAATTGTATAATACATAACATTAAACATTGACAAGGCATGCACTAATGCAATTTTACTTTATAATTATACAATTCAAGAAATTTTATAATACTCAGAATCAATGAAATTGATGAAGATGTTAAATACTTTTATACACAAAAAGGTTTGGCTCAGTACTCTACTTTAAAAATGAAGTCAACTAGAGTGATCTGCTATTAAGTTCCAAGGGAGATAATTCTGTGATAACAAGTTCCATGGGAGATAACTATGTGATAACAAGTTCCAAGGGAGATAATTCTGTGACAACTAGATCCAGGGGAGATAATTCTGTGATAAGAATGTCATCACAAACTTGATCTGCAGCTTACCATTATGTAATAATAAACCAAAAATCAGCCCAAAATGCACATCTGTTAGATTTCAGGTTGACCAAAGGATAAGACAAAATGGGTTACCTTATATGTCACTAAAAAGCAGGGGCATAAAGATAGCTATAAACCATGGACAAACTAATGGAAATTGTGTACATTACCTCCAATCAATTAAGATACAGTTAAGTTAATAAACTAAAATATATCACTCATCTTGTGTTAATAATGTCTATATCATTTTATTTCCAGGAAAAGGAGATAATTTGCAGAGTTACCTACCTTTTTGGTCAACTGGGTATACGTGTAAAAATGCACTAGTTTGCACTTTACCACCATAATCATTTTCTGCCTCACAAGTAAATTTTCCTGAATCTCGCCTAGCCTTGACAGGTTCTATTCGGAGTACACTTCCATGTGGCATTGGTTTAATTTCATAGCGTTGTCTATTGACAGCTTTTATTCTTTTATTGTCTCTATACCATGTAAATTTTGGCATTGGACTTCCAGAGGCTTTACAAACAAAACTAATAGTCTGTTCCTCAGCTACGGACATGTTACGGAGAAATAATGTTATGGCTGATTGCACTGAAAAGACAGAAAAACAAAAACTCTTTAAATTTGGAACCTTTCAGTATAAAGACAGACAACTAACACAGTATACACACAACATTTATTTTCTTCATTTACATATAGTGTCTTGATAAATGAATAACTATAGAAAAAGAATGCACATATATATTTAGGAAAATAACCATGTCTTCATAAGTTTGTTCTTATATTCAGTTAATATGAATAAAAAAGATTAGGGATTTGTGTCAATTAGACAAAAACCATATACTGTGGATTCATTTATTTTCGTGGGTACCAATTTTCGTGGATTAAGGAAAACCTACATGTTCGTGGATATCTAATTTCGTGGTTTTTGACAATGTCTGCATACAAGCCTATAGTAAATTTGGCATTCGTTGAACATATAATTTCGTGGTTAACCTATAACCACGAAACCCACGAAAATTGGTATCCAACGAATAATAATGAATCCACAGTAGTATATATTCTTAAGTCCAACAATTTCAGCATACGCAAATTTGTAGCCAGATGGGACACTGAAAGAAAATTTATGTGGCTTAGGCCAAACTTCATTTAAGTTTTTTTCTGTTATAAAATGTCCTTGTTTCTTTCCCAGCTTTAAAAGTAAATGTCGATTAGTTACCTAGAACAAACCTTGATGAATCTTCCCAATTGTCATGAATAAACATCTTTATTTCAACTTTTACATGTTATGAATTAAGAGATGTGTTTTGAGTTTGTGTTGAATTTTTTAGCCTGTTTTTCTTTTCTTCATGTAGATAAATACATTCTTTATCTATATTCACATTACTACAAAAAGTTTTAATGACAAATCTACATTTAAACTTTGAAAGAAAACCATAAAATCTTTAACAAACATGACTCAAAAACATTTTAGTAAAAATTTAAAATTGTATACAACACTTACATGACTTATATTCAGAATTATTTGTTGGAACCAGAACTGACTTTTTCTAATAAAAAAACTAAGTAAAAATTAAGTAAAGTCAACTTTAATTATTTATATTCATTGATTTACTCATTTTTGTCTGTTTAATGTCCAGTGACAAATATTTTAAGCATATTCAAGACAAGAACTAATTAAAGAAACCAAATCAAATATAGGTCACCTCTGCACAGTAAATCATTGATCCACTGATTTACTTTAAGTGTCCAGTGGCAATTATTTCATGCATATTCACTACATGAATCATTGATATAAAAGATTGGAAATAATATGGACTGCCACTGGAAAAAAGGGTAGGCAATAATATGGACTGCAACTGGAAAAAAGGTATGTTGGGTATAGAGAAGGATTTTATTTTTTATTTAATTACAGCTACAATAATTCCAACAAATAATTCAAAATATAAGAATTACTATACAACAATAAATTTAAAATTCATATTTGTTAAAAATTCAAACAGGAAATGAAAGGAGTGACCTCCCCTTGCATCTTATTCATTACCGAACGTAATATTTTGAAAACAGTAAAATATTACGTTACAAAGAATTTTTAACCAAGTTAAAAGTTATTTCTTTTGATATCACTAAGCTGTGTATTATGAATGGTGTTCCTAAACTCATTTGTAGAGAGAGACCCATAAAGTAAAAAAAAAAAAAAAAAAATATACTAGATTATTGCAGGGTGGACATCAATATTTCTCTACATCAATTGATAGACGAACGTCTCCTTATTTTTAATTCCATGTATGATATTTCTAAACATTTATTTTCCAAAAGGATTAAAAATGATGTCATTACTGACCCTCCTATTTAAAATGACTTAATGTTATATATACAGGTCACCTTACCTTAGAAAATGTGATGTCAACTTAATTTTATCTGATTTTAATATTATTAAAGTTTGACAACCATGGCCAGACATTTTGTTATTATATTTATAACTTCATTCATTAAACCAATGAATATATAAACAAGATAATTATCTGGTTAAAAAAAATATAATAACAATCTGACATTTAATATTCTCTTGTAAATAAAGGCACTGAGAAATTTCATGCATAACATTATCTAAAGTTCAAAATAAAACATTTTAAAACTTTGAAAGAAATTCTGAATGAATAAGATTAAGGGAGGTTACTTCATTTTGGAAACACTTCCTGCTTGTCTTCATATCAATAGACAGGCATTACTTAAATGAAAATATATTGTTTCCAAAAGTGACAGTTTTGAAGCAGTATCTATTGAAACTAGAACATGTGAGACCAGAAAGAAAGTTTGTGCCTCATAAAACAAAACAGATTGTCCAGTAATTTTGTATAACTAGGCATGCATGCAGATTTTGTTGGGTATTTTGGACATTTTCTAGAGTATATTATGCTATCACTTAAATAATGCATGCCTACATTCGGTTTTTGAAATGGGACTTACAATTTATTAATTCAACATATCTGAAGAATGGGGAGATGCTTGCTGTAAAATCAATCAAAATACATTAAAACTTTATTGAAATTCATTAATTATAGAAAATTATAACAAAATCAAGCAAAATATTCATATTACACTCATTCATTCGGCTCAGTAATTATTTTATTTTAGTATCAAATTATAGAGACACCTAGACAATGTCTTCACAAATTACTTAGTTTACTGGCCAGAAAATCAGACTTTCACAAAACTTCCTACATCTTGAAATTCTTCTTATTTACTAGTCCTTCTATATTATCAATGGACGGGGCCAACAGGCTTGTATTTTACCATGAAGACAACACCCAGAGACATCTAACCCAAACCCCAAAGAATGATTGTATCATTTTCCACTGATTTTTGTTATGTGATAATAAAAAATCATGTTTTAGTTGACAAAACTTATGAAAGTACATTTGTTTATGAAAAAGCACTGACCATTTATATATGTTAACCAAAACAAAACACAATTATTGATTGTATATAATTTACAGGCTGCAAGAATGAATGGATAAGGTCCAACAATTTTTGTGATAAATATATGAAGATTTTGTGATCATTGCCCAGTCAGGTAATTTAACCATCACAATACATGCTTTTGTACAATTTTAGTCTAACAATGGATATATTCAACTTTTCTTGATCAAAGAATAAAGGAAGGATAGATGTACCTGTTTATTTTTTCGGGCTTTTTTTTATATCTTGCGACTTTAAGACTATACATTTATTTTTGCAGATTCAATTGATTATTCTAATAAAAAATAATATATAACTCCCAGCATTTTGTTTTTGTCAATATAGTGGGTCTCCACTATGTGAATACATTATGTGGTGACTTTAAGGTGTGTAAGAATGTGTTATAAACAGAAACCTCAAAACTGGATACAAAGATATTACTTTAAAAGGTTAACAAAGGAAGATAGATGTACTTGATTTTTTGACAAGTTACTAGTACTTATAAAATTCTAAAATTAAGATTTAAGTGAAATTTAGATTTAAGTGATGCCTGTCTTTGGTCAGAATTTAACTTACTGAATATTTTATGACCATTATCAAAGAAATCTGAACCTGTCTTATCTGAAAAAGTTTTATGTATGTTCTAATAATTTTATAACTTGCTATACAGAAAATAATTTAACATATATCTTCGAATCTTAATTATATAAATGACCTCAATTTTCTAGGTCTCTTGCTTCCTGAATCTTCCTAAATGTAAGACTTTGTACGATGAACCCAAAGTTCAATTTTGTTTTTTTAACACCAGGGTACTTGGGTACAATGTTCACTACTGCATTTTTATTCTTGGATTATTTAATCATCCTATAATCCCCCTTTTATTTGGAGTTGCAATAAACAGATTAAGCAAAATCAAAGGTAGTATTCAGTCAGTTTAAGATACACTAAAAATTTATGATTTGTAGTATTATGTGTTCCAAAAAAAGTCTGTTTTTAATTACAAATGATATAGGGGTTTGGGCTTTGGGGTGAGATCATATGACTTTCACCTCAAAACAACATAAATTGTAAAGAAAATTTACAATAACCAAAACATTGTAGATCTCAGTGATTTTGTTTAAATAAACTGTTAACACAGAGATATGTCTCGCCATTTTGTAAATTTGATAATGCAAATGTTGAAATTAAAACAGCAATACTTTAACATGTTAGTTACGCAAATATTCAAAGTCAATGAACTATGACATGGCTGAACAGTCTCCATGGAAATGAGATGTGCCAATTCTAATACAACTGCATACCAAATACCATTGACTTATCATAAGTCGTTCCCTTTAAACAAACCTAAACACAAACATTAACTTGTAAACTTTGTAAACGTTTCAAAGTCAATGAAAAATGATAAGGGGGTGGGGCTATATAATCTCAATGGAAACGAGACTTGCAAATGCCAATAAATTTGCATACCAAATATCATTTACTTAACATTAGCGGTTCATCTTAAACTGATCTAATCACAAACTAATACATGTAAACTAAGCAAAAGTTTCAAAGTCAATAGACCATCACTGAAGGGGCGGGGACAAATATTCTCCATGGAAATGAAATGTGCAAATGCTTATACAACTGCAAACCAATTAACATTGGCCTACCACTAATGGTTCCCCTTGAACTGACCTAATCACAAACTAATACATGTAAACTAAGCAAAAGTTTCAAAGTCAATAGACCATGACTGAGGGGGCGGGGCCAAATAATCTCCATGGAAATGAGATATGCCAATGCTTATACAACTGCATACCAAAATATCAATGACCTACCACTAGTGCTTCCCCATGAACCGACGTAATCACAAACTAATACATGAAAACTAAGCAAAGTTTCAAAGTCAATAGACCATGACTGAGGGGGCAGGGCCAAATAATCTCCAAGGTAATGAGATGTGCCAATGCTAATACAACTGCATACCAAATCATTGACCTACCACTAGTGGTTCACCATAAACGAGTCCTAATCACAAACTCGTACATTGTTGACGCCGAAGCCGCTGATGCTGGAAACAGCATACCTATGTCTTGCTTTTTGAATCCGTCAAGGTGACCCAAAAATGAAAGAATTGAAAATTGACT